AAGTGTTCAGTATTTGCATGAATTGAATCCACAGATCATTCACAGAGACCTCAAACCCGAAAATATATTAATTGCTGAAATTGTAAGGAACGGTAGATTTGTTAAGTTATGCGACTTTGGTTTGGCTACAGTTTACGACAAACGCGTTCACTACAGGACTACACAAAAACATACGGCACATGTGGGAGACTTGAAATATATGGCACCAGAAGTATTACAGGCAAAGGAGTACAGCATTAAAGGAGATGTTTATAGTTTGGCACTAATTGGGTCTGAATTATTTGGCGTCAATTTAAATAAGAAAAATTTATATGAGTATGAACAAAGTTGTATTTTATTATAATAGTAAGTTGGGACATCGAGGGACAATACAAATTGAACGGTTTTGATTACTATGAATAGTTAGAAAATCACACAACATTTGGATTGACTAAATCTGGATAATCAAGTATATATTGTTCAATCAATGTTCGACTATCGTTGACCTCATTTTGTCATTGAAATAACACAAATTGTATTAACTTGCATAATACCAATGTCAGCTTATTTGAAAGGCTAAACATGCCATATCAGATATTATTACCTATTTATTAACACAAAATTCTAACATTAATTATATACTATTAAATCTAATGTTATTGTAATGAGAAAAATTAATCAACATCTATACTAAACATATAGAATATTAATTATAAATTATAAAATAAATAAAGTTGAATGCAAAATTAATCAAAATATATGGAAATTTCCTAGAAATTTGCTAAGAAATCAGTAAAATTAACTAAAAATTTTTCAAAAATTTTTATAAATTTCAGCCAAAATTCAAGAAAAGAAAATTTTCTAAAAATTTTTAAAAATTTTCATTAAAAATTTTCTCGTTTCGAACGCTACATAATACCAATGTCAGCTTATTTGAAAAGCTAAACATGCCATATCAGATATTATTACCTATTTATTAACACAAAATTCTAACATTAATTATATACTATTAAATCTAATGTTATTGTAATGAGAAAATGAGAATGAAAGTTAATTCAACAAGCTAATTTCTTTGAGCCAAGTTTAGTCAATTAAAAATGTTAATTATGTTACTAACCCTTAATGGCAATCATAAGCACTCAATTCTTTTTATATGCCATGATGTTTCCAACTAGGATATTATAATATTTATAATATTTTGTCATTAAATTGATTACCAGTATAAATTAAAACATTAATTTTCTTAATCTACTTAAACTATAGTTCAATTGAATCACCGATTGAAGTGTTAAACAATAAGATATTAAAACTGAAAACAGTTTTCGATTCAATGATTGCACAAGAATTGGACAAAAGGCCGGAATGTAAAGAGATTTTAGACAAATTTCACGGCTTGTCTATTGACGCATATATTTTGGCAAATAATTCAAAATTCCAATCAATTATAAATTCACTTAAAACACATCCATGTACATTTTTCTATTCATTTTATGAGACCCAACTTTTACATTACAGTATGACATACAATATCGTTGACCAAGTTGGAAATTATAACAAAATATTTACTCAAGAGTCACAAATAGGGTCCGGGGGTTACGGGACAGTTTATAAAGTTAAAAATAAAAATGACCACAAAATATACGCTATTAAAATACAAAAACTTAATGGTATGAAATATTAAATTGTTTGCTGAAATTTTGATTTATGGTTTAATTTATTTTATTAGATTTAAATGAATACGAAATATCTAATGCAACAAAAGAGTCAAATAATTTATTGAGAGTTCAATCGGAACATGTTGTCCAGTATTACAGCTCATGGCGTGAAGGGAACTGTATTTACATTCAAATGGAGTTATGTTTACAAAGTCTTCGCAATATTATTGAAATCAAACCACAAGTATTTGGTCGACAATTAGGACATCCCATGGATTGCGTCGAGTATTTCATTTCGTGTGAAATATTCCGTCAGATCTTAGAAAGTGTTCAGTATTTGCATGAATTGAATCCACAGATCATTCACAGAGACCTCAAACCCCAAAATATTTTGATTACAAGTTCTGTAAGGAACGGGAGATTTATAAAATTGTGTGACTTTGGTTTGGCTACAGTTCACGACAAACGCATTCACAACAGGACTACACAAAAACATACGAAAGAGGTCGGGGATGTCCACTATATGGCACCGGAGGTAATACATGGACGCAAATATGACCACAAGTCAGATATTTATAGTCTGTCCCTAATTGGTGGTGAACTATTTGACGTGGATATTTCATTGATAGAAACCGACAAGTAAAATTATTTAATAAATTTAATTCATTTAAAATAAATATTTTAATTAATAAATTTATAAAATATAGTCCACCGTCATATTCAGCAACACATGAAGTATTGAACGCACCGGTAGTTAATTTACACAAACTATTAGATAAAATGTTTATACAAAAATGGACTCAAAGGCCAGATTGTCGGCAAGTGTTGGCTAAATATAAGGAGTGGGCTATTGGTAGAGAAATACTAACAAACGACAAGGCATTTGAATCACAACTTGAAAAACTTGAAAAAAATGAAAACACATTTTACTATCAATTTTTGACATTTCTTTTAAATAATTAAATAAAATTTTAACATAATAATCATTAATAAAAATACAATGAATTATATAATATGCTAGATTGTGTGAATTAAAGCATTTTAAAGTACACTGGTAGATTTAAAATAATTTTTATTTGTAAATATCTATCATACTTAATTACTTTGGTAAACACTTTGTCGTCCGCCTCACAGCCCTACCATAACTGAGTTAACACTTGATATCAATTCCCATGAGGCTAACATACCGGGCCAAGTGCTGCCGAAACCGGTTATCAAAGGCTTGGACCGTAAAGAGGGTATGAAAGGGCACCGACAGGTAAATGTGAAGCTATTGCCGGACAAACCAAAGTCATCTGGGATCCCAAGTATTTTTATTACTTTGTTACAAACCAATTCATATGCTTGATAACTATTTTAATTTACAATGCAATATTTATTTATGTAGTTTAAGTTAATTGTTACTATAGCTTATTAAAATACAATTTGCGTATACAATATTCATATATATTATTTACTTAAAATATTATATTACATAACCCTTACGTAAAATAATATTGACTTCAATTTTTTTAACATAACTTAAAATTCCATTATTTTTATAATATTTATAATTACAACTAAAATTTAAACTATAAATAATATAATTATAATTAATAAGTAGCTTGTTGAATCGTAAACTCCGACATATTTACTTTTAAATAAGTTATTGATATAATATTGTAATATGATATTATTTTTACATACATTTTTAGTATAAAAATGATCAAACATGACAAAATTAATTTATAAAAATTTAATTAGAATAAAATTAACTTAATTTAAAATCATGTTTGTGTTTTAATGTTTATAAGTTTGATATATTTTCAATAAAATCTATTATAAATAACAATTAACATAATGAATACCAAGCTGATACTGATATGTCTAGTCATAATAGAGACAATTGCTAGTATAGAATGTATGTAAATAGGTTTTAAATATGAATTGATTGTTTGTCTGTATACACTTAAATAACTTAAAATACTCATAAAATAAATTCGAGATATTCTTACAAAATAATTAAATTTTAAATAATTAACTTTATAAAACTACTATATTTATTGAAACTTTACTCGATAAAACAATAGTATACACTTAAATAACTTAAAATACTCATAAAATAAATTCGAGATATTCTTACAAAATAATTAAATTTTAAATAATTAACTTTATAAAACTACTATATTTATTGAAACTTTACTCGATAAAACAATCTTTAAACAGCATTTTGCCAAAAATAGTATTGCATTCAATAAAACCACTGGAATTAAACATATTTATACACATAAACTTACTATAAAACACATAAAATTAGCAAAAAAGAGGAATTTTATGCAATTTATATTCACGAAGGACATCTTAACGTCCTCCTCAGACACCTGGGAGGACAGTGTTCTGAGGGGTCCAAAGGAGGACAATCCTCCCCACGGAGGACGTTCTGGTCACCCTATTTGGGGCGTTTGTGAATAGAAAAATCAACATTGGCAAAATTTTACCAGACGATCACCAAGATTTTACCGAATACTGCAAACAAGAAAAGTAACTCATCTCCCAAAAAGGGTACATAAATAGACATGGTTACATTTGAAAATTATTTTGCTTATTTATTATTATTATTATCTTTGTATATCACGGTTAGTCCGGTGTGATCTCAGATATGTCGGCCACTTTTGGTGGCAGAGACACGTCTGGTTAGACTCAACTCAAGTCTAGTACTTTTCTGACTGTTCTATATTTTCAAATAATAACTTTAGTAATATTTTGAATCAGTTTAAATACCATATCGTAGGATATTATCTAATACCGTATTATCAAGTATTAAAGATGCTTAATTAACTATAGTATTAAAATACAGTAATGAAAATAATATATATTTTATTGATGATTTTGTAAAGTATTCACATTAAACATTTATTTAAAATTATTTAACAGTAATATGATTAAAATAAATGTTTACAAAAAGCAATAATATGAGGGTTGTTTAGCTACGATGCGCACACATTGTAATCAGGGCCACATTAACAGTGACAAAACAGTGACTATTATAACGTTAGTCAGTATAGAGATTAATGTTAAAATATTTAAAGTTTTGTCACTCATAGTGTGGCCCCAAATGGCTCCAGTGTGCTGAGTAGGTTGTTTAGTATCATCTGAATTTTCACGTCTATTATTCTGTGGTCTAAAATAATAATATAAGGCGTAAAAATATTTTGAGAAAGTTATTATCGATATGCCAAACCACAAATTAAATATGCTTGCTACATAGCACACGTATTCAATAAACTGCAATCGGGGGCAGTGGGTGTACTTGACATTCATACCTGTGGGCAAAAACAGGGTCAACTCAAATAAGTCGTCCGACTTTCTGCCCTTTCGGTCGCCATTTATCCACTTCTCGACGATTTTTATATCAAAGTATTCATTAAAACAATTCTGACGTCGACTACAGTTTTGGGCACAAAAACGTGACATTAATTTGTCTAAACATTTCTGCGAAGACATGTCCGGTTCAGCAAAATACGTGTCATTATCCACATCCTCGGGCACCGGGAGGAATGGGTGCCATCCGGAGAAATGCTTCTTAAAGAACTTTGTCTTACATTTGACAATACAATCGGATTGTGATTTATAGCCAATTCTCGTGTAATTTAAACAATTGGTTTCATACGGAACCACAAATATTTGGTCGACAATTAGAACATCCCATGGATTGTGTCGAGTATTTCATTTCGTGTGAAATATTCCGTCAGATCTTAGAAAGTGTTCAGTATTTGCATAAATTGAATCCACAGATCATTCACAGAGACCTCAAACCAGAAAACATATTGATTGCCAAAAATGTACGGAACGGTAGATTTGTTAAGTTATGTACCGTCAGATCTTAGAAAGTGTTCAGTATTTGCATGAATTGAATCCACAGACCATTCACAGAGACCTCAAACCAGAAAACATATTGATTGCCAAAAATGTACGGAACGGTAGATTTGTTAAGTTATGTGACTTTGGTTTTGCTACAGTTCACGACAAACGCGTTCACTACAGGACTACACAAAAACATACGGCAGATGTGGGAGACGTGAAATATATGGCACCAGAAATATCTTAGGGGGAGAAATACGGACATAAATCGGATATTTATAGTTTGGCACTAATTGGCGGTGAATTGTTTGACGTAAAGTTAAATGATATTGATTTGGATGAGTATGTTACATTTTAAAATATTATATTTTATTCACTGTTTATTGTGATCATTAATTTTATCCAGTACACCTCTTTATTCAACTGCGAATCCGGTGTTAAATTCACTGGTAGTTGAGTTGCAAACTATATTCGAGTCAATGTATACACAAAAGTGGCGAAAAAGACTCGAATGTAGGCAAGTGTTGGAAAAATACAACGAATGGTCTATTGATAGACACGTTGTTATAAATAGTGTTAATTTCGATGAAATATTAAATACCCTTAAGAGCCATAGTAACACATTTTTCTATGACTTCCTATCAACAATCAAATTAAATTGTACAAGAGTATCAGCCATTCAAACTATTGAGTCAAATACTCATGTAAACGATGTGGTGATGTGTGCTGATGATGAACCGCCAGCTAAACGCATACATAAAGAAAATTAACTCAAATCAAAGGTATAATATATTTCTTATATAATTGATTTGAAGTCCAAATGCTAACTCAACGACATATCACATGATAAACAAACCGATAATTCAATTGCAAACACAATTAGATTTAATGTTTTCTCAAAAATTTAATACAAGACCTGAATGTCGGGAATTATTGGATAAATATAATGAATGGTCTATTCATAGGTATATTGTGGCAAATGATGTCAATTTAGAAAACATTAACTAATCTTAAAAATCAAAATAATATATTTTGTCAACTAATTACAATATGTGTTGCCCACATTAAACCACATTGATGCTGTTTTATTGGGTTATGAACAACCACCGAAACGTAGTTGTACTTGTTTATATTACAGATTTTAATCAAATTTGTAAAATTATTTTATAATATATTATATTATATTAATCTAGACAATAAAGTTATTAAAAAATTTTAGTAAATAGTTTGAATTTCATATTGTTATCATAAATTATAACACCGGTATTTTGTTCAATTTGAAATAACATTTTATGTTTATCGTATATTATTAAATATTGTATAACCTATAAATTTTCAAACTATTTCATTGTTAAAATATTTAATTGTTTAACATGAATATCACTATGAGTTTATAATATACAAAACGATCAATCAATGAATAATCGATGCAAGCTAAGTTTGAAAACTTTTATTAGTTTCAATGAGAAAACTCTGTTTTCAATTAAAAATTATTTATGAATAGTCATTCATTTTTATTCATTGTTTGATCTTTTTCTATATTATAAACTTATATTTATTAGTTATATACTATTAATTATTTGTATAATCAATTATAATAATATATTAGATCGTTCAATATTGTTGTTTCTGGCTATAATTTATATTTCTCCGGAATGGCTTAATTTTGATGTTTTATTTCCCAGTTTTGTTATTTTGTGACAACTTTTCAAACTTCTCGCGAATACTACTTATATATCCGTTCGAGACATTAGACTCAGTATTACGTGATATACTAATCGACACCCTCTTAGGCAGAGGCGCACAGATATGACCGTTTGCGGTCAACTAGTGATGTATGTATTTAGTAGTTTAAAACAATATTTACAACACTAGTATTTTATGAATCAGAAATTAGACATTAATATTAATATTAACTTTTCAAATTTATATTAATTTTATTACTCATACACTCATAGCTAGGTATAACTTGTGATTAAATTATTTGTCAATGTTTTTACTATATTTCCAAACAAAGAGATAAATAAATATTTGAAATATTTCATACTATTAATCAAAATGAAAATTATGTTTCAAACAAAATATCATAGTCACTTTTAATTCATTAAATACTAGTGTTTGGAATAGTCACTAAGTTTACTAATAATTTAAAACACTAATTTGAGAATTTTTATAATTTTGGACGTCTCTGCTCTTAGGGATGGTACCTATTCATTGTAAACATAATTAACTATTCTTGCTCAATTACAAATTAAACTAGATTACCTGTATTTGTTGCCGGTTTTATATTTGTATGTTGTGGTGATACTGGATTTACATTGCTTATTTTGTCCATTTTAAATTGATATGTTATAATGTGTTTAAAAACATTATAACTTATAATATTATTAAAATAGAGTTCATTTAACTTAATAAAACTTGAAATCATTATAATATATTTAATTAGTAATTTTAAAATTATAAAAATTGCCACAAGGTTGACAGTTTAAGATGCTTTTGAAATATAAACTATAATATATTCAAGAATATTCTACCTATGTAGAACTGAACTTTTATTATCAGGATAAATGATTGAAAAATGAGTGGTATATCGGCAAATAAATACAAAATACTGGAAATGTAAAAATGGTATCAAATTGGCCACAAATATATGGCAAGTATTTCGGTGTAAACTAAACAAACAAAATGCTATATATTTTATGGGCAACTAATATATGAGCGCATATCCACTATCGTAGAATTGTATTCCGTTTTGATCCCTTTCCTTAACATAAGAAGATAAACACAGAAATTGTTTTTTGTTTTGTTTTCATAAAAGCAAATGTGAACAATATTTTGAAAAATAGTCTCAATTCACAAAATAAGGCCAAATATTTGACAATTATTTGCAGCGCTTTAAAGTTATACTCAAATAAAAACCTCGTTTTCGTTATCATTTTTTGAGAGAAATTAAAGTTTGAAAAGTCTGGACACAAAAAATGTAAACTTCAATAATATAACTTATATATTATTATAATTGATTATACAAATAATTAATAGAATATAACTAATAAATATGAGTTTTTAATATAGAAAAAGATGAATCAATGAATAAAAATGAATGACTATTGATCAATAATTTTTAATTGAAAACAGAGTTTTCTCATTCAAACTAATAAAAGTTTTCAAACTTAGCTTACAGCGATTATTCATTGATTGATCTTTTTGTATATTATAAACTCATAATATAGTTATATTGATGTTAAACAATTAAATATTTTAAAAATGAAATAGTTTGAAAATTGATAGGTTATACAATATTTAATAATATACGATAAACATAAAATGTTATTTCAAATTGAACAAAATACTGGTGTTATAATTTATGATAACAATATGAAATTCAAATTATTTACTAATATTTTTTAATAACTTTATTATCTAGATTAATATAATATATTATAAAATAATTTTACAAATTTGAGTAAAATCTGTAATATAAACAAGTACAACTACGTTTCGGTGGTTGTTCATAACCCAATAAAAGAGCATCAATGTGGTTTAATGTGGTTTAATGTGGGCACATATTGTCATTAGTTGACAAAATATATTATTTTCATTTTTAAGATAAGTTAATGTTTTCTAAATTGACATCATTTGCCACAATATACCTATGAATAGACCATTCATTATATTTATCCAATAATTGCCGGCATTCATTCAGGTCTTGTATTAAATTTTTGAGAAAACATTAAATTTAATTGTGTTTGCAATTCAATTATCGGTTTGTTTATCATGTGATATGTCGTTGAATTAGCATTTGGACTTCAAATCAATTATATAAGAAATATATTATACCTTTGATTTGAGTTCATTTTCTTTATGTATGCGTTTAGCTGGCGGTTCATCATCAGCACACATCACCACATCGTTTACATGTGTATTTGACTCAATAGTTTGAATGACTGATACTCTTGTACAATTTAATTTGATTGTTGATAGGAAGTCATAGAAAAATGTGTTTCTATGGCTCTTAAGGGTATTTAATATTTCATCGAAATGAACACTATTTATAACAACGTGTCTAAATCCAATAATTCCCGACATTCAGGTCTTGTATTAAATTTTTGAGAAAACATTAAATCTAATTGTGTTTGCAATTGAATTATCGGTTTGTTTATCATGTGATATGTCGTTGAATTAGCATTTGGACTGTCAAATCAATTATATAAGAAATATATTATACCTTTGATTTGAGTTAATTTTCTTTATGTATGCGTTTAGCTGGCGGTTCATCATCAGCACACATCACCAGCATCGTTTACATGAGTATTTGACTCAATAGTTTCAATGACTGATACTCTTGTACAATTTAATTTGATTGTTGATAGGAAGTCATAGAAAAATGTGTTTCTATGGCTCTTAAGGGTATTTAATATTTCATCGAAATGAACACTATTTATAACAACGTGTCTATCAATAGACCATTCGTTGTATTTCTCCAACACTTGCCTACATTCGGGTCTTCTTCGCCACTTTAGTGTATACATTGACTCGAATATAGTTTGCAACTCAACTACCAGTGAATTTAACACCGGATTCGCAGTTGAATAAAGAGGTGTACTGGATAAAATTAATGATCACAATAAACAGTGAATCAAATATAATATTTTAAAATGTAACATACTCATCCAAATCAATATCATTTAACTTTACGTCAAACAATTCACCGCCAATTAGTGCCAAACTATAAATATCCGATTTATGTCCGTATTTCTCCCCCTGAGATGTTTCTGGTGCCATATATTTCACGTCTCCCACTTCTGACGTATGTTTTTGTG